TCAGAGACTGCACACGACATAGTACAGGAGCGGACAGTGACCAGAGACTGCAGACATAGTACAGGAGATGACCAGAGACTGCGGACACAGTACAGGAGATGACCAGAGACTGCGGACAGTACAGGAGATGACCAGAGACTGCAGACATAGTACAGGAGATGATGACCAGAGACTGCGGACAGTACAGGAGATGACCAGAGACTGCAGACATAGTACAGGAGATGATCAGAGACTGCTGATATAGTACACGAGTACAGAGAGATGACAGAGACCAGAGACTGCAGACATAGTACAGGAGATGACCAGATGACCAGGAGATGACCAGAGACTGCAGATATAGTACAGGAGATGACCAGAGACTGTAGATATAGTACAGGAGATGACCAGAGACTGCAGATATAGTACAGGGGATGAACAGAGACCTTTCAGCAATGCACATATATACAGTTTGGTATAGCAGTCCACAGGCAGTCTATGGGGGGAGGAGGACATACCTGGCCAGCCAGGCTTGGCATGCTCTCCTCTCTGTGGGCGGGGCTCAGCATACCCTGTCAGCTCTGCAGTGCAGTGATTTGTTAAAGTTCCGCTTTAATTCTTTGACCCTCACTCCCCATTAAGGATTGACACCTTTGGGGAGTGGGGGGGGGGAGCGAGTACTCGAATTTGGCAGGTACCTGCTCCCACTTCCGCTGCGATCGCCTAGGCGATTGGAAGCGGAATTTGTCCTTCCTCCCTCCCTGTAGTCTTCTGGGACACGTGACAGGTCCCAGAAGACTACGGGGCCATTCACAAAGCCCAGCACTTCTCACACATGCACAGTGAAGCGCAAGCTGTCACAGCCGGGTGCCCACACTGAAGATGCCGGCACCAGGGACAGAAGATGGCCGGTGAAACAAGCCATGGTGAAGACACCGCTGGACAAAGGAACAGGTAAGTGACTGTATTTTAAAAGTCAGCAGCTACAGTTTTTTCAGTCAGCTGGAACGCCACTTTAAGGGGCAGCTGCTTTGGGCCCTGCACTGCTGACTTGGACTCTTTCTCTCAGCTCTGCCACAGAAGAGCTGAGCAGCCAGTCCGGTATTCTAACATAGCGGCGGGGGGGGGGGGGGGAGGCCGGGTCAATATTCGCTCCGTAAGACGCACAGACACTTCCCCCCATTTTGTTTCTGTCTGATAAAACTAATTTGGCATCTGTTGAGGTCTGTTTCTGCAGACTCACTTTTACTGCTCATGTTCCATTGGAGAACTGCCATATTACACACGTTGATACACGTTACCAATCACTGTTCACTTTGCAGACTTTCCGAAATTCAGAGAGCCCTTCCCTTACAACTCCCCCATTAAGCAGGCTAACCAGACTTCCCCAGTTATAAATGAAAGCCCAAATAACAGTAATCTTCTGGGAGACTTGTGACAGGTCCAGCATAGAAGACTACGGGGCCATTCACAAAGCCTGGCAGACACTTCTCACACATGCACAGTGAAGCGCAAGCTGTCACAGCCGGGTGCCCACACTGAAGATGCCGGCACCAGGGAGAGAAGATGGCCGGTGAAACAAGCCATGGTGAAGACACCGCTGGACAAATAGAACAGGTAATCCCCCACTGTATTTTAAAAGTATTTGCAGCATAAGACGCTACAGTTTTTTCTTCTCAGTGGAACGCCACTTTAAGGGGCAGCTGCTTTGGCATGCTGACATGCACTTTCTAGGGCCACAGGCGCGGTGCGCCGCAGGTAACAGACTGTATTTTAAAAGTCAGCAGCTACAGTTTTTTCCCCTGGAAGGGCCACTAAGTACAGGGGCAGCACTTGGGCCCTGCACTGCTTTGGACTCTTTCTCTTCTGCCACAGAAGAGCTGAGCGGCCAGTCCGGTATTCTAACATAGCGGCGGGGGGGGGGGGGGGGCCGGGTCAATATTCGCTCCGTAAGACGCACAGACACTTCCCCCCATTTTGTTTCTGTCTGATAAAACTAATTTGGCATCTGTTGAGGTCTGGTTTCTGCAGACTCACTTTTACTGCTCATGTTCCATTGGGAGAACTGCCATATGTCAGTGGGAGGAATACACACGTTGATACACGATACCAATCACTGTTCCTCATACCTTTCCGCAAATTCAGGGGCACTATTTCCTCCCACAGACAAAACGTTTTACTGCTCATGGGAGAACTGCCATATTACACCCCGTTACCAATCACTGTTCACACTTGCAGACTTTCCGAAATTCAGAGAGGGGCAGGCTAACCAGACTTCCCCAGTTATAAATGAAAGCCCAAATAACAGAGAGGATAATCTAAATGACTTACATTATGTGCAGAGAAGCTTGTGTTCCAGGGGCCAGCATAGTAAGAAGTGATGCTTTTCCATGTGCTTCCTTGAATGTCTGGCAGACAACTTAATTGAACAAGCTTCTAACCCAGGGGTGGGCAAACTTTTTGACTTGAGGGCCGCAATGGGTTCATATATTGGACCCAGGGGCCGGAAAGGGGTAGTAGATGAATGATGGACAGGAAAAGTAGGGGGGTCGTCTTGTCCCAGGGGCCGGACCAAATAGTAATGAATGATGTGTAATGTCATCCCCCATAGTAAGTATAGTAATTTCCCCCATATAGTAATTCATCCCCCATATAGTAATTCATCCCCCATATAGTAATTCATCCCCCATAGTAATTCATCCCCCATATAGTAATTCATCCCCCATAGTAATTAATCCCCCATATAGTAATTCATCCCCCATAGTAATTCATCCCCCATATAGTAATTCATCCCCCATATAGTAATTCATCCCCCATAGTAATTCATCCCCCATATAGTAATTCATCCCCCATATAGTAATTCATCCCCCATAGTAATTCATCCCCCATATAGTAATTCATCCCCCCCATATAGTAATTCATCCCCCATATAGTAATTCATCCCCCATATAGTAATTCATCCCCCATATAGTAATTCATCCCCATATAGTAATTCATCCCCCATATAGTAATTCATCCCCCATATAGTAATTCATCCCCCATAGTAATTCATCCCCCATATAGTAATTCATCCCCCATATAGTAATTCATCCCCCATAGTAATTCATCCCCCATATAGTAATTCATCCCCCATAGTAATTCATCCCCCATATAGTAATTCATCCCCTATAGTAATTCATCCCCCATATAGTAATTCATCCCCCCTATAGTAATTCATCCCCCCTATAGTAATTCACCCCCCATATTAAGTCCCCAAGTCCCCCCTGTGTCAATTCACTTACCTTTGCTCCGCGCGTTCCTCTCGCCGTGTTCCCGCGCCGTTCCGCTCTTCTGGGTGGACTGTGAGAGGAGCCTAGCTCCCCTCACGTTCCTCACGCTGCCCCGCCTACACACATTCTGACAGACGATGTTTGCCACGCTCCGCGGGCCGGATTGAAAGGTCCGCCGGGCCGTTGCCCATTGCTGTTCTAACCACTGCTCACTTAGAACTAAAATTTTGAAATAACCATTTGCCCAGATTGATCTCGCACAATAAATCTAACCTCCAATAAAGGATGATTGGCCTATAGCCCCCAACACGGATTGGCTGTTATTGCAACCATCAAAAATTATCATTTTAATTCTTACAAACTGATTCACGTAGGAACACTGTTGGCCCATTGGGAAGCAGAGAGCTGCAGCAGTCTTTTGATCTGTTTGGGAAACCCAGCAGAAGTCTAATGCTCCATCATTCTAATTCCAAATTGTGCATTTGCATTGCCTAGCAAACAACACAGATACATCAGAATCACCCACATGCTTCTCTGTGCAGGCTCTACAATAACATACAGCCAGAGTTTGTTTTAGGGTGTAGCGCTGTGTGCTTGTAGAACTGCTGTATTTGATCTTCCCAAATCCCTAAATAGGTGTTTAAAATGATGAGTAGTAAATATACCCTGTGCATTCCTCTCTAGGAGATGATAGGCTTATTTTAATGGATCCCAGATTAAAGGAAAGTTTAATGTTTTCTGACTTTTGACTCATATAAAGGAAATTATATTAACAATGCTTAAGTACACATACATATTCTTTCTTTTTTGTGAGTGTGTAAGTGGTCAAGCCCATTAACTGACAATGGCATCTATAATAATTTTAGTGTTGTAATGCAAAGTTAATAATAAACACAAGCCAGTGAAATTAGCAGGCAGCTATACCTATACTATGGGTAGTACAATGCAGTCTGCACTGAATGTAGGTCTAGATCAGTGGTACTCAACCTTCCTAATGCCGCGACCCTTTAATACAGTTCCTCATGTTGTGGTGACCCCCAACCATAAAATTATTTACCCAGTAATTATAATTCATGAGTGTCGTTTTACCTCCAATACTGCTGCTTTCAACACAGTAGCTGCTTTTAACAGAGTAGCTGCTTTCAACACAGCAGCTACTTTCTACACAGTAGCTGCTCTTTACACATCGGAAATATGTGTTTTTTCCGATGGTCTTAGGCGACCCCTGTGAAAGGGTTTTTTCGACCCCCAAAGGGGTCGCGACCCACAGGTTGAGAACCACTGGTCTAGATTAAACTCATCATACAGTTTAAGAGTATACTTCCTTAGTAGTACAGGATCACATACATTAGAGTCTGAATTCTACTGGTTCTAGGAGCAATAAACAGTTTATTAATATGTCACGCAATATATATATATATATATATATATATATATATATATATATACTCAGGGGCGGACTGACCATTTGGAAACTCGGGCACTGCCTGAGGGCCCGGGGCCAGTAGGGGCCCCATGAAATGCCCCTGGTACCTTTTTCATAGGCTTTTTTGAGTTTGGGCAAGGACACAGGGGCCCCATGATCCCCTATTGCCCGGGGGCCCCATTAGTTGTCAGTCCGCCCCTGTATATACTGTATATACGCTATATTGTCAAAATCATTGGATTCAGGTGTTCCAATCACCTCCATGGCCACAGGTGTATGAAATCAAGCAACTAGGCATGCAGACTACGTGTACAAACATTTGTGAAAGAATGGGTCACTCTCAGGAACTAAGTGAATTCAAGCGTGGTACTGTGATAGGTTACCACCTGTGCAATAAGTCCATCCATAAAATTTCCTTAGTGCTAAATATTCCACGGTCAAATGTTAGTGCTATTATATCAAAGTGGAAGCAACTGGGAATGACAGCAACTCAGCCATGAAGTGGTAGGCCCCATAAAATGACAGAGAGGGGTCAGTGCATGTTCTCAGAAATTGCCACCTGTCTGCAGAGTCAATAGCTAAAGACCTTCAAACTTCATGTGGCCTTCAGGTTAGCACAACAACAGTTCATAGAGATCTTCAGGGAATGGATTTCCATGGCCGAGCAGCTGCATCTAAGCCTTACATTACCAAGTGCAATGCAAAGTGGTCGGATGCAGTGGTGTAAAGCACGCCACCACTGGACTCTAAAGCAGTGGAGACGTGTTCCCTGGAATGACAAAATCATGCTTCTCTATCTGGCAATCCGATGGACATGTCTGGGTTTGGCGGTTGCCAGGAAAACGGTACTCACTTGACTACATTGTGCCAAGTGTAAAGTTTGGTGGAGGGGGGATTATTATGTGGGGTTGTTTTTCAGGGGTTGGAATTTGCCCCTTAGTTCCAGTGAAAAGAACTATTAAGGCGTCAGCATACCAAGACATTTTGAACAATTTCATGCTCTCAACTTTGTGGGAACAGTTTGGGGATGGCCCCTTCCTGTTGTAACATGACTGCGCACCAGTGTGCAAAGCATGGTCCATAAAGACATGGATGAGCGAGTTTGGGGTGGAGGAAGTTGACTGGCCTGCACAGAGGCTTGACCTCAACCCAATAGAACACCTTTGGGATGAATTTGGGATGAATTAGAGCAGAGACTGCGAGCCAGGCCTTCTTGTCCAACATCAGTGCCTGACCTCACAAATTTGCTTCTGGAAGAATGGTCACACATTCCCATAGACACCCTCCTAAACCTTGTGGACAGCCTTCCCAGAAGAGTAAATTGTAGCAATAATGAGCGCTCTCAGATAGCAGCTGATACACTCAGGTAACCACATAAAACCTTCAGTATAAAATAAGTAATAATAAAGTGCAGCGCTAAATAAATCAGTGAAAGTAAAGTCCCAATATAATTCAATACACAATCGTTGTTGTGAATAGTGCCAGTCAGTGTATCCTTTTTACGTAGTGCTCCATGCAAATGTTAAAATTATGCCCTTACCAGAAGTGCATAGATTATGCGCATTGATAAATCAGAGTAGTAAGGTATGCGTCTGGGACATCCGTCTCCAATTGGGCAGCTCCGCAGTAAGTGGATGATGTCTGCTCCAGATGTCTCCTTAGGGATGAGCAGGGTCAGCCACCTGATTACAGGAATTCCCCCTCTTTGGATATTGAAGAACTTCCCAGGTTCTGCATACTTAAAGCCTCCGTATAGGAGTCATAAGAAAAGTGCTCATAGCGTAATATTGCCAGGAAATTGAATTTATTATTGCAGCAAGTTTCACAATAAAAAGTAATAAAAAGGTACACTGACCAGTAATATGAGTAGCTGCCGGACCAGTTTATGGCTCCGGTGGTTAAAAATCACAGCGTATTGACTCCTTAGGCCTTTCGTGCAACTGCACATCTTCAGAGGAATGTCAACACTGATTCCCTCTTCCCAGAAGAGCTGAAGTTGTTATAGCTGCAAAGGGTTGGCCAACTCAGTATTGAACCCTACGGACTAAGACTGGGATGCCATTAAAGTTCATGTGCGTGTAAAGGCAGACGTATATATATATTTTACACTAAGTATTGGGACGTCTGCCTTTACACCACTGCATTCGACTCTTTGCATTGCACTTGGTGATGTAAGGCTTGGATGCAGTGGTCATGGAAACCCATTCAATGAAGCTCTCTATGCACTGTTGATGTGCTAATGTGAAGGCCACATGCAGTTTGGAGGTCTTTAGCTATTGACTCTGCAGACAGTTGGCGACTTCTGCGTACTGTGCTCTTCAGCATGCACTGACCCCGCTCTGTCATTTTACGTGACCTACCACTTTGTGGCTGAGGTTTTTTTTTTTTTGTTGTTTTTTTTTTTAATTTAAATATTTATTGATTTTCCAGTGGCTGAGTTATTGCTGTTCCCAGTTGCTTACACTTTGTTATAATACCACTAATAGTTGACCGTGGAATATTTAGTAGCAAGGAAATAGGTTGCAACCTATCACAGTATCACGCTTGAATTCACTGAGCTCCTGAGAGCGACCCATTCTTTCACAAATGTTTGTAGAAGCAGTCAGCATGCCTAGGTGCTTGAGTTTATACACCTGTGGCCATGGAGGTGATTGGAACACCTAAATCCAATGATCTTGCGGGGTATCCCATGACTTTTGGCAATATAGTGTACATACATATTTATCTTAATTTTTTGATATTTACAAGACTTAGAGAGCAATTGGGCAGTATGTGAGATGTCTTCCAGAAAATTCCATTAAACAAAGTTGCACAGTTTTTCTGTTTTTGTGAGATTTTGCTTCATTCCCAACAGTCTATATTGGGGTCTATGTATATTGTTACATTCTATAAGTGTAACAAAATATACATAGTTACACTTATATTTAAAACATGTACGTACTTTGACACCCCCTGATCTCTATCAGTGGGGTATCAAAGCATGTGCATGTTTTAAATATAAGTGTAACTATGTATATTTATTTGCAAGAGTTCTTCTGGCAGTTGGATTGTTGGAAAGAAGCACATCAGTTTATAACTCTCTTGAAAACTGTACAGAACAAACTAATTTCCCAGCTTTCAGCCCTGGTAGCCAACAAAGCTAATCTAATTAAAACATAGAGCTCTCATTGACATACTGTAAATTTTCAAATGTATGTAAAAACCATACTCACTACATAGTGTTGCAAATGTGCTTCTACAATAATCTAATGGGACTTTAGGGTAAGGGAATATGTTAGCACACGATCATGTTTTAGACCAGTGTTTATCATCCTTTTTTGCAGTCCGGGCATCCTTTAAAAGTATGCAAAATCTTGAGGCAGCCCAGTTTAAAGTGTAAAATACATAAAAGTTACTTATGAAAAGGAATCTGAGTTTGAAATAAAGCATACAAACTCCTTGATGAAAATATCTTCACTTAAGATGCCCCCCTTTCACATCAGAGGTCCTCTCATCACATCAGAGGTCACCCATTACATCTGGATCATGCTTTCACATCAGAGGCCACCCCCCCCCCCATCAAATCAGAGTCCCCCCTTCACATCAGAGTTACTCCCTCACATCAGAGGCCACATCACATTAAAGTTCCTCTATACATGAAAGCCCGTCATTCATCAGAGGTGATCAGAGGCCGCCTGCATATAAGTCCTCCCATCACATCAAAATCCACCCATCACAGAACCCCTCAATCACACAATCCCCCTATCACAGAGCCCTCTAGTCAGACAGCCCCCCCCATCAGGAAGCCCCCCCAATTACACACTCCCCCCATCATAGAGCCTCCTATCACACAGTCCCCTTTTCATATCAGAGCCCTACCCTTGGCATCAGCAGCATGGCAGAGGGCAGGAGGTGGGGGAGGTCTGGCAGCATGGCAGAGGGCATGAGATGGGGTAGGTCTGCAGAAGTGAGACTTTCTTCTCCTGAAATCTGGGGACGGCCCTACATGCTGAGTGACCTGGTTCATAGTCATGTGTTGCCATGGTGTAAGCAAACTGACCACCATTATCCTAGCAATGAATGAAGGCACTTGTCCTGGCCCTAGAGTGTCATTGGTTGTTAGGGGTCTGTTTTCGAGCCTGCCTGCACAATGATAATTCATGCTGATCAGGAGCACACTGGGTCTCCTGCTTTCGGCACCCTGGGGGAACCGTTATAGCACCTTGGTCAAGGAAAACACTGTTTTCCAAGACAAGCACTTGCTTGTGTTTCAGCATGTCTCTGCTTTTTTTGTTTTGGATACTGCAAGCAATTTCAGCAGATGTTGAAGTCTGTGAGCACATCCTGACATCTTTAAGAGAAGTCTTTAGGAATGATTCTTTCACTTCTTAATGCCTGGATAGAATTTGGGAAGCATTTACGAAGCATTTTCTCTGGTCCTAAAGGCAATGGTCAACTTAGTAAGGTTTTAAAAAAATCAAGTTATGCTGCCAAAACTTAATACATTTATGGAGAATTTGGTAAGTTCTAAAACACAAAAACTCTGTGAGCTAGCCCAAAGGGACCATCAAACATTTATTTATTTATTTCAGGTACTTATATAGCGCCATCAATTTACGCAGCGCTTTACATACATATATTGTACATTCACATCAGTCCCTAACTCTCAAGGGGCGTACAATCTAAGGTCCCTAACTCACATTCATACATACACATACTTTCTAATTTTCATGTTCAGCTGCTACATTGTTTAAGGAAATATAGCCTTTATCACCTGGAGAACATCTGGGGCCTTACTCATTTGAAATTCGTAGAGCTGAATATTAGGATTATTGTTACTGCATTACTAGGATTCCTTCTTATTCATGGTGCAAAAATTGTTTCTGTTATTAACCATTATAACTGTTCTAACTGTCCCATAAAAAGACTTTTAAGTTTCAATCACATGACCTTCAAGCCTTTCTCATCTCTCTAAGCCATGTCTGGTTGAAAAATTGGGATGGTGCATATTCCCAGGGTCATGCTACATGCTACATTACTATGCAAGATTGCTGTAAGTAACACCCACCAACACTTTTGTTCCAACATGACAACACCCATACTGTCAAGAACAGCTACACCACTGACAGCAGCTAAGGTGATACGGAGTGCCATGTAGCCTTCAAAAAATTTTAAAAATATCCATAGAGCAGCGATCAGAAGGGGAGGAGAAGAGTGATGCATTTTCAAGCAAGACATGATGCACTGCATGTGTACTTAGTGGAATATGAGAATAGAATCCATGAGAATACATTAATAGCCACATGTGGAGGAGTAAGAGGGTCACATGAGGCCCCCCCCCAAAAAACACTAGCTAGACAAGCATGAGCTAAGTGTTAAGTGTTGATTTGGGAAAATTAAGAGTTCCGTATCTCTTCTAGGGTTAAAATTAAGAGTTCCGTATATATCTTCTAGGGTTAAAATTAAGAGTTCCGTATCTCTTCTAGGGTTAAAATTAAGAGTTCCGTATCTCTTCTAGGGTTAAAATTAAGAGTTCCGTATCTCTTCTAGGGTTAAAATTAAGAGTTGTGTATCTCTTCTAGGGTTAAAATTAAGAGTTCCGTATCTCTTCTAGGGTTAAAATTAAGAGTTCCGATCTCTTCTAGGGTTAAAATAAGAGTTCTGTATCTCTTCTAGGGTTAAAATTAAGAGTTCCGTATCTCTTCTAGGGTTAAATGGTAAGTGTTCAGGTAGTGGAAGTTTAAGTGTTTAGGGTTGTGACTTATTGTAGAGGATACTTTTTTTGCTGTTTTGGGAGCTGTAGATGCTTTGTTTAAGCCCCATGCCAAAAAAATATGACACAAAGATCTTAGATTTTATTGTATTTGTTGCCAGTAGCCTAGCCAGTATGCAATGCAATACATGTTACCTTTTCTAAGTAGTACATTTCATATTTGCTTTTTTTCTCCACATTTTCTTGTGTGTGATTTTAGATACAAATTAACTGGAAAAGCTTTCAGCGTCAAATAGTCGGACGTTTTTTTACTAAACCTTATAACCTCAGTTGTCTAAAAGATCAT